TTTTTCCGCTCCATGTAATTTCCTTGAGGTTCATCCAAGTTGTGTGGACCATTAGTTCATCCCTTTTTATCATTGATTAATATTCCGTGATATGGATGTACCCACTGAAGGACATTGGGTAGTTTTTCGTTTTTTTTACTGTGATGAATAAAACTATTATGAACATTTGTACACAATGTTTCTGCAAGAAAGTAAGTTTGATATCTCTGGGATAAATATCCAAGAGTGCGGGGTTGCATGTTAGTCCATTTAAAAAGGAACGACAGCCCTGGCCAGTGTTGCTCAGTGGTTCAAATGTTGTCCCATGCACCGAAGAGTTGCAGGTGCGATTCCCAGTCAAGGACATGTACCTGGGTGGTAGGTTCACACCCCACCACCTGGTCAGGGCACGGGCGTGCAGGAGGCAACCAGTTGATGTGTGTCTCTCACATCAAAATTTTTCTCTCTCTCTCTCCCCTCTCTTCCACTCTCTCTGAAAAAAGCAATGGGAAAAATATCCTCAGGTGAGGGTTAAAAAATAATAAAATAAGTAAATAAATAAATATAAAGGAACTACAAAACAATTTCCAGAGTAGTATATACCATTTTACATTTCCACCAGCAATGGAAGAGTGATCCAGTTTTCCACATCCTCACCAGCATTTGATATTATCACCATTCTTATTTTAGTCCTTCTAATGTGTGTGTAGTGACATCTCGTGTGGTTTTAACTTGCATAACTCTAATTAATTAAGTTAAACATCTTTCATGTGCTTATTCGCCATCTGTCTGTCCTCTTTGGGGAAATGTCTGTGCATATCTTTTGCCAATTTTCTAATTGGATTGTTCTTTTTTGAAATATTAAATTTTGAAAGTTCTTTGTATATTCTAGATACAAGCCCTTATTTGGATATGTGACTTGCAAAATATTTTCTCCCCGTCTGTAATTTGTCTTTTTGTCACCTTCATGGAGTCTTTCACAGAGCAAAGTATTTTAATTTTGATGATGTCCAGTTTACCAAGGGTGAAAGTATTCTGTATCATGACCATATCACTGTCAATACCCTGTTTGTGTTATAGTTTTTGCATGTGGGAAAGTGGGCAAGGGGTACACGGGATCTATCTGTATTGCTTATCACATACATGGAAATCTACAGTTATCTCCACATGACAAGTTTAAAGAAGACATATGTCCACATATAAATTCCTTATTGAACTGGTTCCAGTTCATCTCTGTTGGAGGAACCACCACCAGTCTAGACATTCGGGTGAGAAGCCTGGTGGCCATCCTTCACTTCACTCCTTTCATCCCTTCCCCCTCCCTACATATTTTCAAGCTACCAGTCCTACTTCTCAGTCTCTGTGTGTGTTACTGCTCATATTCAGGAGCTTGTGATTTACAACTGTATTAGTGATGCAAAAATATGTCCTTAGCGCTTTCTAATTTGACACCTTCTGTCACTTGCCATTCCTTCCAGAATGAGCCATACTTTTCAACATGGCATGCAAAGTATGTTAATATGCCCCCCAACCTGTGATTCTGTCCCTTCTGTCTCTGCAGCCTCCATCAATTAAAATTCTTAGTTTCAAGCAACAGAAACTGACTTTGTCTGATTTAAGTAGTGAAATCATTTATTAAAAGAATATGAATTAACAATACTTGCTAAAAAAAACTGCAGAACCAAGCTCCAAGCTGCACATCAAGGAACAACGCCCCAAATCTTGCTGTAGAACTGGTCTGTGGGTGCTACAGCCCTGCTCCCCTAGAACTCGATCTTGCTGACCGGCAACTGCTGTGTCTGAAAAGTCTCCATCGTCTCTGCCATGTTGTGTCACTAGCTCCCAATTCCAAGTGTATTTCTGATGGGTGTAACTCAGGTCATATGTCCATTCCTTAGCTGCAAGGGAGGCTGGGAACATGAGTAACTGACCTTTTCCACATCTGGACACAGGTTCTGTTTCTCACCAGAATTCATCAGATAGGAAATTTCCCCAAATTAGAATGAGGCTCAAAGGGCAGGACAGAGTAAGAAATGGATCCATAATAACTCTACCAGATAGAACATGCCTCTTGGTTCCAAACTGTATGATTCGAGAATGGGCTTTGTACATATGCTGGTTTTTAGTTAATAAACACATTGACAAGTGCTATCATTTTTTTGGATTCATGATCCTGTGTTTGGTGGCATAAATGATGTGATAAGTGGGTGCAAAATTTTGATGGGCCACATATCTTAAAACATGCATAATTATTTGAAACTACAATGGTACATACAAACATGATCAACTAATGTTTAACCTAGCTGAGCACTGCCTGTGATGGACAAATGGTTGTAACTGTCTAAACCCATCTCCTGCAGGGAGTGGAGTGGGTGGCAGAGGAGGTTACAAATCACTGGATCATGGATGGCAAACAGGATTGACTCACTGGCTAATTCTGCTCAATTGATACTGGATATTGTGTCCAGAAAGATAGGAAAGCAGTGCCTAGATTCAGCAGGAGAGAGCTGTGATCAATTAGTAATGTCTGCCATGAGTGCAAGAAGAATGGGTGATTGCAGCACATATGCCCCATCCATTTAACATCCCTGACCTAGAATAATCCTCTAGAGCTCACAAGTTCTCTGGCTGTAGACACAGGCAGAGAATTTATCTGAGTTTGAAAGCCCAAGGTGGGGGGAAAAGGATACATCTTGAGGAGTATGTAATAAAGAAATTTATTGGTGTGGAGGCCCAGACTGATGGACTTGTGTGAAGTTTTTGCCCAGGAGCTCAGAATGTATAAATTAATAGCTCGAATGGGAGTTGGAGTCGCATTCACACACGTTCCACCAATATATATGTGTAAACAGATGCATTTTTTCAACACCACTCTTCTGCTTTTCACAAACAGGAGAATCACTTTATAAATGGACCTCTGCCTCCAGGGCCCTATTCCTTCTATTCTCACAGACAGCAAACAGCTGTAGGCACAGCTTGTCTTAGGGGTGGGGGTGGGGGTAGGGGGGTGGGGAGCTGGAAAGCTACTTTGATAGGGAAATAAAGCAGGCATCATGTTTCAATGCTTTGCTTCATCATGTACATAGAGAATCATTACCATTTCCTCTGATAATTATATAAAAATATTAAGAAGAAGAAAATGGCTGCAGAATAGTATGAAATTACAACAAAAAAATAGTCATCTGGTGCTCAACCCCTGTGTTCCTCCTCCGGAGGAAAAGCATCCGGGAGGCACCTGCTAAGAGATGGTGAGGATCTCCACCAAGGTGCCTCCCGAGGGGACTTTTCCAGAGTAATTTTGACCTGTCTTCTGCCTGGGAGCTGACTTTAGATCACGGCTCTCCTGCGAAATACACACAACCTTGCATGTGCCATTCTCACAATGGGGCAGCTGCCGCTCCTGCCCTGGGTCTATGTGAGTCAGCTCCAGACTAATCTCACTTGATAAGAATCCAATATTCTGTAAGTGCAAAGCGCTCCTCATCCTTTTGCTAGAAAGGTCTAAAGAATGTGATTCTGCCCGGCTGGCGTGCCTCAGTGGTTGAGTGTCGACCTAGTCACCAGGAGATCATGGTTCGATTCCCGGTCAGGGCACATGCAGGCTCGATCCCCAGCGTGGGGCGTGCAAGAGGCAGCCGACCAATGATTCTCTCATCATTGATGTTTCTATCTCTCTCTCCCTCTCCTTTCCTCTCTGAAATCAATAAAAATATATTTTAAAAAAATAAAATAAAGAATGTGATCCTGTCAGGTGAACCTACCAGGTTAGTGAGCTAGATAGAAAGTTGCAAATGTGTCCTTGGGTAACAGGGCAAAATGGAAATTTCTAAACCTTCTCCATGGCGCTTCGCCCTTAACCTGGCCTCCTTTTCTTCTCATGAGGAAAAGAGCTTGAAAATGTACAAGTGTAAGAGCCTCTTTTTAGTATGAGAAGCTACAGACACACTGCATGTTACTGTAAATCCTAGCTGTGAACACATTCCTCACTTATAAGCCAATTATTTAACAGGTAGCCTCAATTATGGAACCACAAAAACAATGAAAGTATAGCATAGTGATGAATGGCCATCTTTGATATTAGGGAGACTTGGGCTCAAATACTATAGCGCTGCCATTTATTTAAAGCTGTGTGAGCTTGAATGTGTTATTTAAACTTCCTAAACCTTATTATTCTTATTGTATAACAGCGATGATAGAATCTTATGTTATAGGCTTGGGGTATTTGTCAAAGTAATGTACTTAAAGGCCACAGCATAGCTCCCAGCACAGAATAAAGACATACGTTGGCTATTAATAAGAAATAAAATTCTCCGAGCAGCTAAGATATGTCACAAATCCTGTATGGCAGTTTTGCTCAGAGAGAGACCATTAGCCACTCACTCAGAGTCTATATAATTTGATGTTCACAGTCAGGACTGATGTATCCTGACTCAGACACAGTTTCGACAAGAGGGATCATCCGGTTTCCCGTGATCTCGCACGACAGGAAGCCCTATCATCTGAAGGTAGGGACAGGCAAGAACCAGCACAGCTGTCAGCAATGAGAGGGACAAGGGGTGGATCAGAACCAATCAAACAATGCCAGGGCTCTGTTGTAGGAGTCTCGGGGTATTTAGAAAGGGGACAAGCAACCTTGCCTTCCTCAGGAGTCCCTGAAAACACCTCCCTGTGTCAGCACAGCACAGTAACTCACCGACAGGGACGTGTGCCTCCGTCTTCCATAGAAGTTCATGCATGCCCACTGCTTAAGAAGGCAGAGGAGCAAGTTCTCCAGTGCCCGGCAAGCACTTGCCTTCAACAAGATGAAAATCCACATGGTGATGCTTGGAGACAGGGGGACTTCAGTTGCATGGGAAAATCCCCTTGGGTAAAGCAACTCAACTTCCAACAGAGCTGGATCCATGAGGCGTCACCCTACTTCTAAAGCCTACATCCCTGCAGATCGGCACTGTATAAACCCGCCACCCCCATCCCCAAGAGGCAGTGGCTACTTAACTCTGGTACAAAGAATCAGGGTCAACTTGCCTGTGACACTTTAATGAAGGAAATGTGTTCTTGTGTGCTATGCCCCCTTTCAACTCACGGTTTCTGCTCCAGGGGGGTATAGTGGAAAACAACAGATAAAAACCAATGAACGGGACTTCCCACATATGCTCTTCTGGTTGAAGGCGTTCATGGAAAATTCTGCCCCTCTCCACACTTGGGATTCCTTGATGGTAACATGGCTGGACTAGGCGGTCTTCCAGGTCCCCTCCAATGGGGCTGTTCTAGGATATAGTTACCTGACCCAACTGATGGGCACCCAGTGAGTGTCCTTGCTCAGGTTCTCTAAGAGAGCTCTGAGCTGGCTGCACGCGCTCTGGAGATCCTCCCTCACCAGCACAGCGTCCACCAGGTGCCCGTAATGCTGGTCAATGAAGGCGGCGGAGGCGGACATCTCTCGCTGTTCCTCATCCTGCAAAGGAAAGGGGCAGTTATGGAGCAACAGGGTGGTTCTCCCCTCAAACAGGAAACCTACACCTTGTGTCTTGGGCAATGTCCCAAGTGAAGGGATGACTGATGACTATGGTCCATGAATAACCAACTGTGTACACAAAGAACAGAGTGGAGTGAAAATATCCTAGCAAACTTCCAAGAAAGTGAATGGGCAGTAGACATTGATATTTAGTCATTCACAAAATATCTACTCAGGACCTGTTAACTGCAAGCCATGATATGAAGTTCTTGGCGGGGGCGGGGGGGCGGGGCAGGGGGGATGCTGATTCTGTATCTGTGTCAATATCACATTTCCTGTCCAAAGGTATTTCCAAAGAAGTGCTACTATTGTGTTGCATGGCAATTTGGTTAAATAATTACAGGAAAGACCTATAAATAATAACAATAAAAAAGCATTTCTGGCCCCACCGGCATGGCTCCGTGGTTGTGCATCAACCTGTGAACCAGGGGGTTGTGGTTTGATTCCCAGTCAGGGCATATGCTCGGGGTTTCGGGCTCGATCCCCAGTGTGGGGTGTGCAGGAGGCAGCCGATCAACGATTCCCTCTCATCGTTGATGTTTCCATCTCTCTCTCCCTCTCCCCCCTCTTTGAAATCAATAATATATATATATATATATATATATATATATATATATATATATATATATATATAGGCAATTCTGAAACCAATGGGGGAGGGAGGGGAAAGAAGTCGAATAAGGAACTCTAATGCCCTCTGAAGACTCCTAAGTTCATGCTGTGGAACTCAATTTTTCTTTTCATTTCCTTATACCAGGGCCAAACACAGACACAAAGTAGAGTTAAGAAAGTGCTGGGACAACACTGGCCAAATTCCCCATTTCCTTAGGTACCTGCCTCCTTTAATCAGATTATTTTCCTGACACCTCACACTAAGTTATAGATAGCCAATGATCCCGCCTTACCAAACTCACACAATGTTTGCTTCTGCATTTAAGAAACCTCTAATAAATAGAATTTAAAGCAGAGAGTTAACTAACTTGAGTTTGGGCTGTGGAAGAAAGGGGCAGATCCACTCTAAGTCAAATTGCAAAACAAAATTTGTCTTTGGCATTCGCCCACCTCCTATCTCTTTCCAGTCCCGTGTTGCCTTCTCTCCTCTGCTTTTAGGGGCTCAGTGTTTGGATGCTGCCATGGAGCGGGGTGAGCTGTCTCCCCCAAAGAGACCCACCTTCCAAAAAAGTCCCTCCTCCTCTTCTCTCTGTCACCAATCAAAACCTGATTCCTGCTTCAGGGAGAGCGCCTGCAGTTTCGGAAGATATGTTCTAAAGGGCTAGGGAACAGTTCTTACCTAAGATGGCTGAGACCTAAGAGAAGACTCAGATCATTCCTCCTCCTCCTCTCCCCCAGGAGGGGAAAAGCTAGATGAAATTTGGAGAAGCTTCCCAGTTCTATACTGGACTTGCAGGGCCCCTCTGGTGTTCAAAGCGCACCACAGTAACCCAGTGCCGCCCCTGGATCTTCAACCCCACCCCCCCTCCCTCTGTACACACATCCTGTAGCCCTGTCTGTCTGTCGATGTTTTCTCTCTCTCTCTCCCCCTTCCTCTCTAAAATCAATAAAAACATATTTTTAAAAAAGTATGAAAGAAATGACCAATTTTAAACTTACAAGTGGGGCTGCTATGTCCTCACAAGCTGGGGACATGGGTGGCATCTTCCTTTTGTCCTGAATTGCAGGCTTTACAAATATAATATAGGGCTTGAACTCTGAGGTCCTCAGCTGTCTCAGTGCCTGTGAAGACAAGTTCAGGAATATTATATACTTTGAAAATATTTTACTGTGAAACATAATTTTCAAATGCTCCATAATGGTGTGCTTCACCACATGACCTCAATGGTAAAGGTTCCGACTATACGGTCATATGACAATGAACTTCAGCTGGCATTCTCTTCTTCTGCTCATTTTCTCACTCTCCACGTTGACTGTGGACTCAACTGGAGGCCTGGAGGCCTACTTGCTGAGAAGGGAGGTTCCGAAGCCTCTGCTCCCAGAGTTGTCATCTCTTTGGCTCTGACCCCACAAGCTCGAACTAACCTCCTTATGCCGTTCTCTACCTGCCCAGGCCCGATGGGTGAGCCAGCAGGACTCAATGTATATCTATTTAGTCATCAACTTGGACTACACCAGTTCGGAATGTGTGCTATCGCCCAAACCTCCTACTGATAGTCAAAGAAAAGGTTTGCTAAGCAAATGAAGAGACTAACAACTTGAAACAAATTGTGAAGACTTTAGGAGGTTTTCAATATGCAAACGTCCTATTAGTGCATTGTATCTTAAGGGCCTCTGTTTGGAAACACCGGCATTAAACTGCTATATGTACAATTTGCAGCCAAAACAATAAAAATCACTTTCCAAATAAAATCCTGAAATTTTGACTGCCAACTCCCAGTAACTCCAAATTAGGGAGGGTTTTCCTTATGTATAATGTGCTTTTTGGAATTTGTTTCAAGCAAACTTCTATAAAATAAAGCCTATAGCTTATATCAAAACCAGAGTGCTATTTCTACAGAGGAATAAAAAAATCTCCGGGTTGAGGTCAAAGCTTAGAAGTGTTTCTCAAAGACAAGGTGCAAACGATGGGTCAGCCCCTGTCGAGTACACAGCAGGCAGGGTGTGCAACACGGAAAGGGTTTTTGAAGCGCTTCACAGGGACGCGTCTCCCCTTTTCCCTTTCAAACTGTTCTCCGACCACCTCCCTCGGTGGTTCCCACGCCACTGACTTCACTTGTCCTGTTCAAGGAGGAGGTTCGCTGGTGCGAAGAGCTGAGTCCCAGCCTCCAGCTGGGCACTGACATCTAATCTCCTGTCCCATCGCAACTGGCCAGTCGGCGCCACCCTCGACTGCATGACTTACTCCACGCAGCGAGTCCTATCCCGGGTCTCTGGCTGCCCAGGGGGTCCATGACTCCCTACAATGTTAATGCAGTTTGGGTGTGTAGAGGTGCATATTTTGGGATGCAAAGCTTTCATTAGCTTCTCAAAGGGCGACCCCAAGAAATTTTAATATCCAGTGCTCTAGACTAATAAAACTCCCTTAAACTGAGGTCAGATATGCTGTCAAATGTACAACCCTCTAGTTTATAAATTCCACGAATAAAACATGCCCAACTGGCCCAGGAACTCACGTCCGGCTCTACGTCCACCAAACAAACTTTGTTTTTGGCCATCACAGCGTGAATGGCGTCCAGGCTGGTCCCGTAGAGATTTTCCTTATATTCCCCGTGCTCCAGGAACCTAAAACACCAAAGGGGGAAAGGCCTGGGGTTCCCGAGCTCGCCCACATTGGCACAGAAACATGAATGGACTTCCACCACGATTCTCTCCCCTCCTCCGCCTTCCCTGGAGCCCTCCTGGGGGTCAAGTGGAACACGGGGCAGATGCAAAGACCCGCACCCGCACCGAGGGCCAGCTGGCCCACCCAGCAGACGTACCTGTTGTGATGTATGCCGGCCTCGAATGCTTGCTTAGAGACAAAGTGATACTCCACCCCCTCCTTCTCATGGCTCTTCCGGGGTCTGGTGGTATCTTTTAAAGAAAGAACAAGGCAAGCTGGGCAAGGAGAGGTCACATGACAGTGAGTGCAAACACAGGGAGCCTGTGCCCTTTCGGAGTTCATTGATGCTGTGCACATAAAGCAACGTCTTCCATCCATCCAGCATCTCCGTGTCAGGCACAGGGCCCTTTCCAGGCGCATCGCTGGCTCACACACTCTCTGATGGAGGCAAGAGGCCTCCCATCTTGCAGGAAAGGACCCCGAGACGTGCAGAGAGGTGAAGCACCATGTCACTGGCCCAGAGCCGGCAGGTAGCAGAGCCAAGGTCTGAGCTCTGTCTCGTGCCAAGTGTGGGCCCTGAGCACGCGGCCAAACTGCCTCCTTGATGCTGTGGCTTCCAAGGAACCACTGGGAAGATCCCCAGGCCTAACCTTTCATGAGTCCCTCGTCCTAACTGCTTTTTGAGAGCAGAGGAGGCACAAACATAGGTAACCTTACTGTCTGCTTTTAATCCTTGACTCAAGTATTTCCCATTTTGAGAGAAAGGAGACATGCAGACCGTCCCTTTATGGAGGAGATGTCGCTTCTCACACAATGTCATAGCACGTAGAGTTTTCCGCTGGATTTCCGTAACATAACTGAGATGCACACTCCTGGGGGGAAACGGGTCCGCCACAGCACAAGAGCACACGTGAGGCAACACACAGCGTTTCCTGCGCATCCCAAGAGAAAGGGGGGAGGCACCAGGGAGATGCTCTGATTCCAGATGTGGTGCCTTAGGCCAACCTCTGGCAGAGCCGCTCGGGTCACTTTTCTGACCATGTCATTCCCTTGCTCTAAATGTTTATTCACCCTCTGATTCCATTCTAAAGACCTTAGATGAGCATAGGGGACCCTCGTGATCCGCCCAGCCTCCAACTCAGCTTCATCTCCCCGACATCAGCCACACCAGCTTCCCCAGCCCCCGACACCGCTCCGCCAGGTCACACCTTCACCCCTTGCACGTGTTGTTCCCTCTGCAGAGAGAATTCTTCCTTTCTTCTCTGCCTGGAAAACTCCTATTTACTCTTCAAAACCCAGCATAAAGGTCACTGCCTCTAGGAAGCCTTCACTAACTCCCCAGCTCCTAAACGCCAGGGGGAAAGTCACCTCTCTGTGGGGTATGTGGAAGCAGGTGGACCTGACCATCCAGGTACCCTTCCCCCAAGGGGTGGGTCTGAGGATTTCAAAGGACCTATGTGTGAGCAAGTTCCACATGTCCTGTTTCAGTCCATCCTCTCAGTCTCTGGAAGACTGTGGCTCCCTGAAACCTACCAGGTCCATTACCGATGTGTTGCCGGAATGGCCTCCCAACCCCACACCCCATCCCCATCCCCACCCCTGCCATTTCAGGTTGGGCTCTGTGAGACAATTCTGACAACCCACAGACTGGGCTATGGGCCCCAAGGCCCAGGGGCTTTGTAGCGGCCCTTCCTCAGAACATTCTGAAAAAGTCCCATCACCGCCACCACAGCATCCCCCCTTGGTGGCCACCAGGTGCTAACACTGTATCCTGCAGAGGCCAAGGGATGGACAGAGTCCCACAGGACGGAAAGGGCAGGGAGAGGCAGGCCATCATGCAGCCTGGTTAAGAATGCAACTGGAGCAGGCTGCCTGGGTTTGAATCTTGGCTCCACCATTTACCAACGGTGTGATGTTGGGCAAGTTACTTAACCCCTGAGCCTCAGTGTCTTCCTCTGTAGAATGGGATGATAATAGTCCCTCGTCTCAGGGGCACTAGGAAGGCTGACCAAGTTAGTCACAGAAGAGCTCCTGGTGTAGGTCCTAGCACTCTTCATTCTCCTCTTCCTCATCACATCCTATCCGCCTATTGGATTTCGGCATCCCTGTCTGCCTCTAGACTCGGGAGCCACCCTGATGGGCCAGATCCAGCTACAAGGGAGAGCCCAGGCAATGCTGCTCGCTGGCTCGCTGGCTTCCCTGCCCTGCTCTCTTACCAAGCAGACAGCAGGGGCCACAGCAGCCAGAGCCATTTGGAAAAGGAGGCGGGAGGCCCCTTGGTGTTAGCCTGAGGTTGCTATTTTGCCTGCAACGTGCTCTAGACTTACTCCCATCCCAGGCAGGAACCAAGCCAATTCTGGGAGTTTAACATGCATACAATTCTACTGTCCTCCAGCTTCTGCCTCAGCGGGTCCCAGTGGGCCACTCAGAGTGGGTCAGTCCCCTCACGCCCAGGTCCCATGATCTGCTCATAGCAGGCGGTGCTTGGCAGTCCCCCAGACCCCAAATAAGGATGAGGATGGATACAGGGAATATTCATGTGTAGGGCCCTCCCCTCCCCTTCCCCCCCACCAGCCCTCTTACGTGGAACAGCAACACCAAAGTGCTGTGGGTTCTCTGCCACCACCTTCTGCTTCAGCTCGTGCAGCCGGGCTCCCAGAGACCCTGGGAAATGAAGGGAAGGCTGACCAGAGACCCTGCTGAGCTCCCTCCCTGCTCTTCCAGGGAGGAAACCAGCCCACTCCCTGGAGATGCAGCATCACCTACCGATCAGAACCACCAGGCGGGGCCGCTTACTGGGTTGGTGCTGGTACCTGGTCACCTCCTCATAGGTCAGCAGCTCCGGAGCCTCCGTTACTGCAGATGTCTTTCCTTCCTGCGGGTTTCCCAGTCTCTCCCTGCGGCCCAGCCGGAAGCTCCTTCGAAGACCAGCTTTGGGGGAAGGGCAAGGGGCACCATGACATTTGTCCCAGGACCTCCCACCAAAGACTCTTCCCACCTGGCCTAACCTGGAGTGGGTCTGAGGCCCACTGGCCTCTCCCAACCGCCTCCAGATACAGAAAGGGGTTGATCAAGACACACAGTAACATGGTGAAAGGGTGACCACCCGGCATCCAAAAGTAGGGTCCCAGGTCCCTGTTTTACTCGGCATGTGACTGACCTTGAATAGGTCATCACCTCTCTGAGCCTCAGTTTCCTTATTTGTGAAACGGAAATGGAAATCTACAAATGCAATGTGTGGATTGGGTCCCGGGTCAGGGGAAAATGCTCTAAAGGATGTTGTTGGGACAATTGGCAACAATTTAATATAAACGGTGTTATATATAAACACGCATATAATAGAATTGTGTGCATGTTAAACTCCCAGAGTGGGATCATTGCCCTGGGTTATATAAGAGAAGGTCCTTGTCCTGAGGGACCACATGCCGAGGTGTTTAGGGTGAAGGGACAAGCTGTCTGTGGCGAACTCTCCCACGACTCAGGAGAAGATGCATAGATGTAGAAAACGGAAATGATACAGCAAACGTGGCAAATACCAACTGGTGAATCTGGGTGCAGAGTTTATGGAAGTTCTTCGTACAATTCTTACAACCCTTCAGTAAGTTTGAAATTACTTCCCAATCAAAAGTTAGAAAAACTCGCCAAACCGGTTTGGCTCAGTGGATAGAGCGTCGGCCTGCGGACTGAAAGGTCCCAGGTTCGATTCCGGTCGAGGGCATGTACCTTGGTTGCTGGCACATCCCCAGTAGGAGATGTGCAGGAGGCAGCTGATCGATGTTTCTCTCCCATTGATGTTTCTAGCTCTCTCTCTCCCCCTTCCTCTCTGTGAAAAATCAATAAAAAATATTTTTTAAAAAAAGTTAGAAAAACTCTTTGCCTGTCTCTCAGGTCTCTGAAAAGACTGACCAAAATGCAAGAAGCAAAGGTACTTGGGAAACTAGTAAAAGGCTCCTTTATGGTACGGTGGTGACGTAACCACTGAATAAACTACAGTTGAGATCACAAGACTAATATAATCAGTATTAATGGAGGGTCCATGTCAGGGCTCGGCTGTCAGCAGCTGGTGAACGTTGAGGTGGCGGGCAAGGCCTGGGCAGGCCAGTCCCTCCTCTGCTGACAGACGGAGGGGAATGTGGGTCCCCAGCTGGGTGCTCAGATGGCTTTGCTTCTGCCTCTCCCTGCCCCGGGAGCCCGTGGGCTGTGCATGGCACGGAAGAGGATGCTGGGGGAAGAATTTGTCCCAGGATCTCTCTGCTACTTACCCACATAATGCCCTCTGAGGTACCCCTCACAGTCACAGGTCTCTGCGAATCAAACAGAGGGGTCCAGTGAGCCATTCTGGGCACAGACCCAAGCCCAGAGGTGCCGGCCCCTGGATGGCCAGGAAGAGCCCCCTGGGATCGTGTTTCAGGGGGGCTCAGGAGAAATCCCATGTCCTGCCTCCCCCCCAAAAAAAACACAAGTTCTTCTGTTTAGCTCAGTTCTCCATGCTTATTCCTCAAGTAACTTTTCCAGGCCCTAGCAGGTCCTGGGCCAGCAGACCCCATCCCAGTCCCTGAGTCAGGATCCCTGTGAATAGGAGGGGAGATTCACTAGCCCTGCCCCGCTCCTGTCTCGTACCTCCTACCCAGCCAGTTACAATCAGCCCAGCCAGAGTCCTGGGAAGGCTGAGCCCTGTCCTGTCCCCCCCCAGCTCTGCAGCCTCAAGGAGCAGGCTGGACCAGCTGGCAGAGTAGGGAGAGGTGGGCAAGGAGCAGGAGGGCACAGCCACCCCAGAGTTGGAATGGGGGGGGAGGAACAAGCCCCTCCGGCCCCAGACATTCCACAGAAAGGGGCCTTGTCCATGCACACAGAGGACAAATACCAGGCCTACCTTTGTCACAAGGCTGATCATCTGCAGTTTGCACAAAAGACAGATGGAACAGCGTTAGCGGAGGGGAACAGGAGGCCCTGCGGCCGCGAGACAGCCATGGCCTCTGTGCCTGAGGAGCCCTCCATCTGTCCCCCCTTTCTCTCCTCCGGCAAACCTGTGATCCGAGCTGGGCTGCATTATTAAACCAGGACTTCTCTAATTAGTCTTCCTGTGTGTGTCTCATTAGCAGCTCAAAGAAAGCCAGCTCATTGCTGGCGTAAGCAGCCTCAAGGCCAATTTATTCAGCAGCCCTTTGATTGAGAGCACGTGGAGAGGAGTGGGCGTGGGCAGCAGCCGCCAGGCCAGGGGAGCAGCTTGCTCTAGGAGCCCGCAATGGGCAAGCGTCCTCTCCAGGCCCTCCTTGGGCCCCTGATCACAGGCCCCCCTCGTCCCACTCCCTTGGCCTCAGGAGCCTCTGTTTTCCCATCTTGGAAAAGGAGGTGCTCTGAGCCCACTGCTTCACGGGCTGTTGTGATGATTACAAGGAAGAAGGTGGGTGGATGTGTTTTCTAAAAGGTAAAGTGCTACACGGAGTGGAGTTGGCAGAAAAAATACAAAACACTGGGCTAAATTTGAATTTCAGAAAAACAAGGAATCGGCATTTAGTAGAAGTATAGCCCGTGCAGTATTTGGGACAAATGTATTTATGCAAAGAAATGACTTGTTGTTCATATGAAATTCAAATGTAATTGAACATCTTGGTTTTTATTTGCCAAATCTGATCCCTGACACAGAAGCACAGGATCTCCAGAGCTGTCTCCCCAAATCCGAGGTTCCTAAATGGGCAGGACCAGAGCCCTCCTTGGGCATCTAATGAAAGCTGTGGACCTTCTCTCAGACACAGACCAACAGCCAGACACACACACACACACACACACACACGTTTGCACACAATTTTGGGAGAGGCGTTAATTTGGCCCCTAATGTCATCCATGAGCTCCTCTCCAGGGAATAGCTCCCCCCAACTTAACCCCCATTTCCTCTCCCCACCCCTCACCCCACCCCCTCCTTCCTCTGGAGGCTGGGAGGTCAGAGAAGGCCCTTGGTGCTGCCTCCTGCCCAGCGCCTGCTTCTTCCTGGCACAAAGCCCCCAAGTCCTAACCCCGGCCCCTCCCTTAAGTACCATCCCTGCCAGTCTACTCACAGGGGGGCTTCTTGAGGCTCTGGGGGCTCGGCAGGGTGCCCGTGGCTCTCCGGTAGCTTAGGCGCCTGTGGACAAGGAGAAGGACAGGCCCATGAGCTGGGCCACGGAACCAGCCGGGGGGTCTTACAGAAAACTTGGAGACACTGATGCTGGATCCTACAGGTGGGCACAGCCTGGCAGCCTGAGGGACTCCGGCATCGCACCGAGTTCCAGGGAAGAGGGACACGCACTGGTTCACAGGGGAAAGAAACGGAGTCTCCTGCTCTGGAAGACGCCTGCCCAGCCCTAAAGGTCACACAGGGATCCAGCCCAGTGCCCGGGTCAGCAGCTGGTTGTTACTGTCCTACGACCGATTCTCAAGGAAGGGAGGCCCCCTCTCCTCTCCCCTGGCCTTCCCATTCCCGAGGAAGCTGGAAAATAGCAGGACCCTCAGGAGAGGCTGAGGGTGAACGTGACCCTGACTTAACGCCCTTCTCCCACCGGAGACCTCAGCCAGACACATCATCCAGCCGGGTTGTCAGTGGAGAGGCAGCTGCCAAGGTCTCACCTCTGACTGAGAAAACGCCAGGGCTCTTGGAGGTGTTTCGATTTCCACATCTGAATGCAGCTAAAGAGCCTCCACCCCCCGCCCCCCGTCCCCAAGACCAGATGCGGATGGGTCTGAGGCTCCCCTGAGGAAAGAGAGCAGGTTCTCAAGCTGCAGCACCTCAGAATCGCCTGGAACCTCGGTGAGAACAAAAAGTGCAGAGCCCACCCTGGACTTTCTGACTCAGCAGGTCTGGGACTGGGCCCAGGAATCTGCACTTCCCACAGGTTCTCAGGGGACGCTGCCGCCCCTGGCCGGGGACCACTGAAACGGATGAGCAAGGTCTGTAGGACTTCAAACCTCAGGGGAGGCTGATGCAGTCTTAACTGCCAGCCCCTCTGACCCAGAACTTACACTTCTGGAAATCTATCCTAGGGAAATAATTTGAAATATGAGGGACAGTCTATGTGCAAGATAACAATTGCAGGCTTGTAGCTGTGAAACACTGGGGAAGACTGAAAGGTGGGGAAGGGGTAGCTTTCCAGCTAAACTGTAAGCTCCTCCAGGGCAGAAAGCAGGGTTCACAGCAGCCCACAGGCTGCCCGGCACAGGCCAGCTCCATTCACAACAAATCCATTCATGCTGCCTATGAGTGAATGGTGTAGCTCCTGATGAACTAGTACGTAGCCACTACAATCACACAATAACTAATAGGCAATATGTGGAAAATGCTGGCGTCAAAATGTATAGTTAAAAAAAAAAAAAGCAAGATCTCAAAACACTCATGTAAAAAGCACAGAAAGGAAATAATTATGTGGTTTAGATGGTGGTGAGACTTTGGGTAATTTTCTTTTCCTTGTCCTCTTCTTCCATATTTTTACATTTTATTTGTCAACTTTCTCTAAGTATGTATTATGCAATATACATTAATAACAGAGATTTCCATATACAGACAGTCCTTGGGTTACGTCGGATTCGACGTACGTTGTTACGTGTTTACGTCACCATCTCCCATTTATTTATAAAAAAAAAAGTTCCGTCATTTCGACATATGTACATAAGTGCTTTATGTTTTGTATTATTTATTTACCACAAGTAAAGGTCAGGAATTGTTATCTTTCTTTTAAATTATTTTTACTGTTTCACTTCATTACTGCTGTGTATGTGCTCCATGTGAATGACGTAGGTGCTTATGTAGGTGAGTTCTGACTTACAGCGAAAATTGCGTTATGTTGCACCATAGGAACATATCTCCAATGTAACCTGAGGACCTACTGTATTTCTTTAAATCTCAAACAGTCATCGCCACTGGTTATGGGTCAAGAAGGACAAACACAAGTACAATTGGTACTTACCTCGGAACAACACACAGTGTGTCCCTCTGGCTGTGGTGCAGAGATTCGTGGGTTTGCCATGTACCCATTCCTCTGCCACTCCAGAACCACCCCCTTGCAACACCCCCAGACCCACCTTTCCTGGAACTGCTTGGAGGGAATAAGGCCAGCTCGAAGGTTGGTGTCCCCCACTCGCTTGGCCTGCCACCACGTAGGGTCATCCTGGCTGACCACCTCCAGGACCTGCCTGCGCTGGAAGGGCAGGCCTGCCTCCTGGCAGGGAATGGCCCGGTCCTCCCGCGGGTTGTAGTGGAAGAGGGCCCGCATGAACACCTGCAGGGGACGGGCTGGGTGAGGCGACCCTTCATCGTGGAGACACGGACATGTCTATGCCACGTGGAAAGTCAAATGACAACTACCGTTCGCCATTAGGAAGCATAAGCAGCCTTGAGAATGGATAGCTAATCAGAAACATACTGCACATATTTTCTTATTGTTCTTCAATCATTTTGGATATTAGAGTCAGGAAATCCCTCAAGAATCAGAAAATGAACAGATGGGCCCCATGTCTGACTATCTTTCTCCAACCTGAACGTTTCCTTAATGACCTGATCTGCTGTGCTCAGCATACACGATGCAACAATTAGTCCTGGGGACAAAAAGTAAAGGCAAGCACATCCGTCATTCAAATGTGATTTCTGATCTGCTAACGGCCCCTAATGAAGGCAGCAGCCATCTGTTAAATAAGAGATCTAGATGTTTTGGTAAGAACACAAACACCAATAAAACTACTGCTACTGACTCCTCACCATCATTTTTCAGTGGGTACTTGACGCCCACATTTTTTACAGTTCAATCCTGCCTCATCTGTCACACGTTTGGCTAACCCCAACTCTCCCCTTTACCCTGAAGTCACCCCCTCCAGAGAAGATGGTGGGAAGACACAGCAGTTTGTCACACTTCCTGGTTCTCTTCTATAATTCAGTGGCATGGGTTTATTTATTTCTATTTGGGCCCAATTACTTAACAGCAAATAGACCAAAAAAAAAAAAAAAAAAGGCCAGAGGGCTTCCTTAGGGCAGTGATTCTCAGCCTTTTCCATCTCATGGCACACATAAACTAAGTAATAAAATTCTGTGGCACACACAAAAAATATTTTTGGCCAATCTGAAAAACAAAATAGGTATAATTTTGATTCATTCATATTGGATGGCTATTGTTGTGTTGGCTGTTGTCATATTTTTATTTGACAATGTAAGGGAAAAGAGGTCAGTGTCCCTGACTAAATAGTCAGGTATTGCATGTTGTGAAAATTCTGTCAGCAAAAAATTAAATAAATAAATAAATTCTGGCAGCACACTGGTTGAAAATCGCTGCCTTAGACAGATTCAAACCATATTCCTTTATGCCCTCCAGAAAGGACTCAGCTAGACCACAGTCAGAACCTTCTGCCCAGGTACTGTGAGGACAGATACCCTCATCAAGCCACAGGTGTCACCAGGGTCCAAACACTCAGAAGAGAGTATAATCCGCAATGGCCAGCCCAGATCAAGCTGCTAGCTCAAGAAGAAATACTTAGGCCCTAACCGGTTTGGCTCAGTGGATAGAGCATTGGCCTGCGGACTGAAGGGTCCCAGGTTCAATTCCGGTCAAGGGCATGTACCTTGGTTGCAGGCACATCCTCAGTGGGGAGTGTGCAGGAGGCAGCTGGTCGATGTTTCTCTCTCATCGATGTTTCTAGCTCTCTGTCCCTCTCCCTTCCTCTCTGTGAAAAATCAATAAAATATATTTTTAAAAAAAAAGAAGAAGAAATACTTAGGAAGGATGAGCTAAGGGACTGGAAAACCAGGTTCTCTCCCTGTATCAAGTGAAAACCTTCAGCAGCTGCATCTGGGGACCACAGTAACTCGTCCCAGAAAGAACCACCTTCCATCAGGTGAGAGCCCATATATGGCTGCCCTGGGATGCAGTGGAAGAGTGCAAATAAGAAACTAGCCACAAACACCTTATTTCTTGGTTTGTTTAAAAAAACAAAAAACTGACATCAAACACAATGTCCATTGTTAATCCCTATTCATCAAGATATTTACTGACAGCTATTCTGTGCCAGGTGCTGGAAGGACCCTCTTTCTTGCACTTAGTACTGGGAGGCAGGGCTGGGAATCATGAAACATTGAAACATTGGCATGCTCCCTTCCTTCCACCGATGAAAAGCATGCAATTGCCCTAGTTGGTGTGGCTCAGTGGATAGAGCGTCGGCCTGCAGACTGAAGGGTCCCAGGTTCGATTCCGGTCAAGGGCACATGCCTGGGTTGTGGGCTCGATCTCCAGTAGGGGGCGTGCAGGAGGCAGCCAATCAATGATTCTCTCTCATCATTGATATTTCTCTCTCTTTCCCTCTGATATCAATAAAAATATATTTAAAAGAAAAGGAAAGAGAAGCATGCAATTCATTATGTTATTTCTGCCTTGGCTTCGAGGGTAGTTCAGATCCAAATGTTTTTGAAATTAATTAATGCCCTCATCTGTCCTCTCTACCACCACCCTAAGCTCAGGTCTCAGCCCCCTCTCCACTGGGCTTTTTATTTTTTTAAAATATATTTTATTGATTTTTTTACAGAGAGGAAGGGAGAGAGATAGAGAGTTAGAAACATCGATCAGCTGCCTCCTGCACACCTCCTACTGGGGATGTGCCCGCAACCTAGGTACATGCCCTTGACCGGAATCGAACCTGGGACCTTTCAGTCCGCAAGCCGACGCTCTATCCACTGAGCCAAACCGGTTTCGGCTCCACTGGGCTTTGACAACAGCCTGCAACCAGGTCTCGCTGCCTCCAGTCTCCACCTGCTCCACTCTCCTCCATGTGCCTACCTCGGGGAGCTTTCTAAAACACAAACATGGTTGCATCACTCCCCTTAAAAAACACACACACACACACACAAAAACCACACAGCCCGGCCGGTATGGTTCAGATGGTTGAGCGCCAACCTATGAACCAGGAGGTCACGGTTCAATTCCGGGTCAGGGCACAAGCCTGGGTTGCGGGCTCAATCCCCAGTAGGATGTGTGCAGGAGGTAGCCGATCAATGATTCTCTCTCAACATTGATGTTTCTATCTCTCTCCCTCTCCCTTCCTCTCTGAAATCAATAAAAATCACGAAACAAAAACACAAGCCTTAAGGTAATTCAGAAGACAGCACTATCCCACCTCCCCCACCCACCTCCCCCACCACCAGACCCCACCCCAGTATATACTCCTCTCCATTACTTTGAGCTTCTGTCTATGCAGACTCCTCTGCCTGAACTTCCTTCCACCTCTTCTTTACCAGGGACCCACTCATCTCACCCTCTTCAAGCCTCACTCCCTCGTGCCTCCCGTGCGACACCTTCCACGGCACCTGTAACCCCGTAGAGAATCTTTCCATAGCACTTGTCACGTGGCAATAAAAGACTTGCTCCCCGGCCTCCCCCTGAACTAGGAAGCCTCAAAGCTCCTAATCAACCCTGTCGCCAGCATCTGGCAGAGCACCTGGCACAGCGGAGGTGCCCCACAAAGGTAGGCTACACGGCGAAATAAACGGCAGTTACTTAATTGGTCCCAAAGCCAGCACACTGGGTACCTCTCCTCCTCTTTATGGCCCCGGTTTTCTATTTCAATTAAAAGGTATTAGTAAGCTAGGTCGAATGTGGTCTACCGACAGGCAGGGTACAAATAAATGAATCACTTTGTGACAGGATGGCAATCTATCGAGCACATGTTCCGAGGACCAGATGTACAATCTCTTCCCAAATGACCGTTTCAAAGGCTGGGCTGGAGCCCTCCCCTGCCCTCCAGCTCCCCCCATACCTTGCTCTCCTTTAAGCGGTCCTCCTCCTGGGTGGCTGGGATGATTTTCAGGGTGATGGATCCCTGGGACTGAGCCTGAAAGGAGAGAGAGCACAGGCTCATCATCCCCCAGGCCTAGCCCTCCGTGAGTTCACATCTCACTTCCCAGGTCTGAAAACTCACGTTCAGAGGCAAGTCAGACTCACTGCCTCCTCTGGGACCCACCCTTCTATGGTGGCACCAGTTGAATTAACAAAGCAAAACTCAAAAGCCAATACCTGCACTTCAGACAAAGGGGCATAAGATTTTAAATGAGACCCCGAGGACAATGCATACACTGAATCCAGCTCTGCATCCCTCCTGACCTCTCGGGCCCCCAGGGCTGCCCTCTCTCCTTCCTCTTGGGTTATCTTTTTTTTAATATATTTTATTGATTTTTTACAGAGAGGAGGGGAGAGGGATAGAGAGTTAGAAACATCGATGAGAGAGAAACATCGATCAGCTGCCTCTTGCACGCCCCCTACTGGGGATGTGCCCGCAACCAAGGTACATGCCCTTGACTGGAATCGAACCTGGGACCCTTGAGTCCGCAGGCTGACGCTCTATCCGCTGAGCCAAACCGGTTAGGGCCCTCTTGGGTTATCTTTAATAACCTGGCCCACTTTCCTTTTCCTCCTTCCTGCCTCATTTGGGGCTGGTTCCCAATCAGTACTTTCCTCTTTGCTTCCATCTTCCCCAGTGGGGTCTCCAATCCCAGGCCACTCCTCTCTTCCCAGGGGTTCCTTTTCCCTCTGCCTGACAGAGACCTTGCACCCTGACGTGGGGGGCCCGTGAGGAAGAAGCTGTCAGCCTTAAAGAGCCAGTCTTCTCGCTTCACATCTCAGCCTGCTTCTGCCCCCAAACCATAAGAAGTTAGCTGCCCACCCAGGGTGGCACAGTGGTTGAGCGTCAACCTATGAACCAGGAGGTCAGGGTTCAATTCCTGGTCAGGGCACATGCCCTATTTTTTAAAAACATCAATGATTTTTTAAAAAGTTAACAAGGAGTGTCATGCCGGGGAGGATGCTGAGGATACAGAGGACAGAACTATGACTGGGGCTCTTTACAATTTCAGTTTTGGCTTGAACTCCCACAATGGACTCTGGAGGCTGTTTACATCCCAGCACAGATGTGAAATGCTGTATCCTTTTCCAGATGTTTACATCCGAATGATCACCACACATGGGATGAGAAACCATCCCTGTCCTTGCTTTCCAGGAGAGGAAATCAAAACTCAGAATGACTGGGTGACTTGCCCAAAGTTGCACCCCTAGGAAGTGGTGGAGGCAGGATTCAAACCCAGGACTGTCTGATCCCAAATCCCTTGCTTGGGTCCTCCCTGTGCTTCAACCTCTTAGTCCAAATTCCTTGGTCCTTTAGAAGAGGGGACCCTTTTGAAGGGGGTCTCCCAGAAGGGTCCTCAGGAAAGGGAGCTAGAGGTCAGGGGAATGACTGAAGACAGGGTCTGCGAGAGGCAGATGGACTAGAGCAGTGGTTCTCAACCTTCCTAATGCCGCGACCCTTCAGTACAGTTCCTCATGCTGTGGTGACCCCCAACCATAAAATTATTTTCGTTGCTACTTCATAACAGTAATTTTGCTACTGCTATGAATCGTCATGTAAATATCTGATATACAGGATGTATTTTCATTGTTACAAATTGAACATAATTAAAACATAGTGATTAATCACAAAAACAATATGCAATTATATATGTGTTTTCCGATGGTCTTAGGCGACCCCTGTGAAAGGGTCGTTCGACCCCCCAAAGGGTCGCGACCCACAGGTTGAGAACCGCTGGACTGGAAGCTCAACTCCTCCTGTCCCCCACCCGCACCCGGGAGCACTGTAAGGCCACTTTGCCTGCGGCCCTCCCATGAAAACAGGGAGACCGAGCCAGATCCGCCCTGGCTCTGGAAGCACCACCAAACCCCCAGCACACGTGCAGCACGGACCAGAATCTGGCTGATCTCGTCGGGCCGCTTGTGCAGGACTGTGATCCCGTTCACTTCCCGGAGCTCGTCCCCGACGTGGACCAGGCCTAGGAGACACGGGAGCGGCCGTTAGCACAGGAAAGGGGCTCGAAGCTCTGGGCACCGCTGGGACCGGGACGAACGGAGTCCCTCCTGCGTGCTGGCTGCCTCACCCGGCATCACAGCCTCACAACCACCCGGTGAAACCTCCAGTTTACAAGTCGGCAGCTGAGAGCCAGGAAAAGTATGCAGCTTGCCTCAGGCCACACTGCTCAGCAATGGAGCCAGTGTTCAGACACAGTCATTTTGATGTAGAAAGACTGTGTTCTTTCTGCTGTAACCTCGGCTTCTTTAAAAATTGCATTAACTCTTCACCATCCTGGCCTCCGCTGTCAGGACAAGCCTCTCCGGGTATTGGGCCCTATTTGTTACTGAAAGCGGACGCTGGCCCCTCAGTGTTAGCACCACCCAGGAGGCGGTCAGGGGTGCAGAATCTGGGGCCCACCTAAGACCTGCTGAATCAGAATCGCCTTTTAACAAGATGCCGGGGGAGTGGGGGGTCGTGTGCTTGCTCACGTTTGAGAAGCTCTGGTCTAGGAGTCTCCACACCATGATCCCCAGATTTGGGGATAATGCTCCCACCGGGAGGTTTGCCTCCGACTCAGCAGTTCTTCCCCACACAGTGATTTGCAACTTCTTTTCCACCCAAACAAATCTGGGACATGAACACCCTCCCTTCCGCAATAGTGCAACTCGGTGGTGGGGAAGGGTGTCCCTGCCCCCCAGTTAGGAATTACCCACCAAGCCCATGCTGCATGCATGAGTCCTGATCCCCTCATCTCTCCATGTCTGAGAGACTTTCAAACAATTCAAATTTCTACCAGGCTGGTGAAAGAGAAGTCCAGCCCCACTCCCCCACTCCCAGTACTTCCCAAACAGGTGACCACAGAGGAGGGGAAGATGAGACCCGTGGCCAAAGGGGGAAGGCCGGGGGATGAAGGCCATCGCCCTGGCCAGATGGGCATTGATGCCACTCACCACTCCGGTCTGCTGCGCCCCCTCGCATGATCCTGGCCACCACGACAGCCCCTGAGTGCTCATCCCGTCGGATGGTGGCGCCCTGCATCGGAGACAGAGCAGGCAGGCTCCTCAGAAGCACCCACAAAGCTCAGATTCCAACACTCTGGACCCCCCAGAGCCTCCCCATCCCTCCCTCTGTCATCTCAGGGGGCAGGTCAGAGGGGACCTTTCCAATGCTGAGGATGCAGTAAAACTGACATCTCCCATTAGTGTAGCTCAGCACTTCACAGTTTAAACAAAGCACAGTAACACAGCGCCGATCTCATTTGGACACGAGGAACTGGGGCTCAGGGAAGGGAAGCATCCGCAAGGTCACCCAGCCGAGAAGGAGGAAAGCTTTTTGTGATGCTGAATCCAGAGCTTTCTCTATCACTGCCTCTTGCAAAGACATTTAATAATGAGGAGAGTATGTGCCAGCAAATTCTCATCCTACCTCTAACCAATCACAGGGCCTTCTGTTACGGAAGGGAATCAATGATGCCCCAACAGGGCTTCGGGACCAGGACTTGGTCCATGAAGCACAGAAGAGGGTGATCTAGGATGAGAAAGGTCTAACAAGCCCTCAATTTCCTGCGTCACACAGGCTGGACAGTGAGCGGCAGGGCAGGGTGGCAGTCAGGTCAAGAGCTAAGCTCCGGAGTGGGACAGCCCTGGGTTTGAATCCACTCTGGCATTTACTAAAAGCATGCGGCCTTAGCAAGGAAGCCCCATATCCTCTCTGACTCTATTTCCTCTGGGGTGTGGGGTAACATTCCACTCACGGGGTGGTGCAAGGATTACATTAGGTGAAACATACAGGGCACTTAGCACACAGTAAGTGCTCAATAAATGCGAGCCATTTATCATGGGCTGTAACTGCAGACACTTTGGTGCACTTATTAACTTTGTTTGTGTCATCTCTTTGAAGTACCTAAGATAAATGCTGCTGGAAAGAGAGGCCATTAGCTGAGAGCCCTGTGGCTTCTTGCCCCCTAGACCTTCATGTTTCCCAGCATGTGTCCACCCTTCCCTCCTTCCCCATCTTAGCGGAGGGGCTCCTCCTGTCTAGGCTGGTCCCTCTGCCCTCCCTGCCTCTCCTGCATCCTCAATGCCCCTTCTCTCCTGGACCTAAAAATATTATCACCTCTTTCCCATCATAAAAAGCCTGCAGCCCCATCCAGCGGGAGCCAGTCTCCATTCCTTTGGAACAAGCTTCTTAAAGAAACAGGGTGCATCTGCTCTCTCTGCTTCCTGCCCTCAGGGTCACGCAGCCCTGCAACCTCAGATGCAACAGCAAAAGCACCTGATGGCCGGCCAGCTGCAGCCCTCAGCCTGCTCTCCTCCCAGCAGCCTCCTGCCTGACTCTGGTGCTCACCCTCCCTCTGGAATTCGGTCTCAGCCTGGGCCCTGGCGACACCTCTCTCCCAGTGCTTCTCAAGGACTAGTCATCTCCTTTGCTGAGCCCTCCTCTGTCTGCCTTTGAAATGACTACAGGGCTGGGACCTGGCCCTCTTCACGTCTCACTTTGTAAACTCTTCACCCAGGAGGTGTCGGCCTCTCAGGTGATTTTAACCCCTCCCGCAGGCTGGGGGCTGCCAAGTCTGTTATCTCTGGACACATAATCCTTCCACCTCCCGGACACCCCCGGTTCGAGGCGCACGGGCCTCTTGAATTCAGTGGGGCCTGAGCTCCTTCTTATTTCCTCCCCAGAATTACGGCCCCAACACCACACGGTCGTCCAAGCAGGACACCTGGGCACTATCCCAGGTGCCTCCCCGACTCCTGCCCAAACGGCGGCAGTCACAACGTGACAACCATTTTGTTTCTGAACTATTTCTGGGATTTCTCTTCCCTACTCCCACGGGTCTAGGTCAAGCCCCATTTCTGAACCTCGTGGGTCTGGCCCCCACCTTCAAATTGGTTTTCTGCTTCGGGCCTCACTCTCCAGATGGCTTTCCACTGGGTAGCCAGTGTGGTCTTTCTGCACTGTACATCTGGCCATGCTATTTCTTCCTCCATGCTATTTCTTCCTTAAAACCTTTCCGTGGCTCCCCCCGCCTTCGAGGTCAAGCTAAGTAACTCTGCGTGGACAAGCAGGTTTTTTTATGACCTGCCACTGATCTGGCCTCACCCATCGCTCCGTACCTCAAACTTGGCATTCTATGTCCACACCAGGCAGCTCCGATTGCCTGAATATCCCAGGCCATTTACCGTCCCGTGGCTTTGCTCGTGCAGTCTACTTTGTGGCATGCCCTCTCCCTTTTCCTTCTAGAAAATTCCTGTTCATTTTTTTTTGGAATTCAGCACAGGCATCACCACTTCCAGGAAGCCCCCAGTCACCACCTCCTGTGAACTCCCAGGTCTGAACTGCCTGCACCCAACAGGGTGCCTGGCACACAGAAGGGTGCACGAGGTGTCTGCCAGTCGGTGGGTGACTGCCCGGTTTGGAACGAGGGGAAACAGAGGCAGAGGAGAGATCCTGCTCTGCTTGCAGCAGGGGGTCATCTGAGGTCATCTGGTGAAAGTTGGCTATGGAGAGTGCCGGCAGCGGTGTTCTTCCGGGCAAGCACTCAATTCTCTGGACTTCCCCTACTTCCCTCCATCTAATAAACAACCCTGTCCCTTTGCCCAGTAATCAATGCTGAACCAGGACCAGCATGATAACCATCTGTCAGCGGGGAGAAGAATAGCTGCTGCCTGGGCTTCCTCGGGATTCAGAGCAGGCCTGGCAACCGGTTTGTAAAGAGCCAGATGTAAGTGTTTTAGGCCATGGGGGCCACAGAGCCTCCTGTGCGGGTACTTAACTCTGCCGCTGCAATGTAAAGGCAGCTGTAGACAATACGGAAAGGAACAGGATGGCTGTGTGCCAATAAAACTTTATTTACAAAATCTGGCTTTGGCCCTTGGACCGTGGTTTGCCAGTTCAGAGCCTGATGATCAGAGCTGCCCCGTACAGTCGTGCAGGTTATTTACTGCACAAAGGAGCTTGGCCACAGTGGAGGGAGGCTGTATCCACCCAGGGAAAGGGGTTCCCTGCGCACAGAAGCGTTGCAGGGACTGGTGACAGCCCGGACAACGCTGCCGTCACTCACTCCAAAGACTTCAGGAGGGTCCCTTCCCAGTTTTCTGGGTGGAACAGGGAAAGGGGGTGGGGGTGGGGTGCCACATACCAGGGGTTCCTTGTTCTTTACCAGGCGGACAATCTTCACTGATTCTTCATCAAAGTCCTCATCAATATTGTCAGGCAGAGGGGGGAGAACAGGGTCGAAATTCTTCTGAGCAACCGTATCATGCACCATGAGCATGGCCTGTCAGGAAAGCATGAGAAATGAAAGGCTGGCCCAGAGCTCCCAGGGGTCCGGCAGGGGGCCTTGGCCGGGCAGTGGTCGGGGGGGTCTCTGATTTCATGCCAGACAACCACCCCGACACTGGTACTTAGGATCCCTCACTGAGGAGCCCCCTTTCCTCAGTTTCACGACTGAATGCTCAGGAGACACAGGGACCGCAACATGACTACCCTGAGGTGGGGGGTGGACAGCAGCTGGAGCAGCTCCCTCTCGTCGCCGTGCACGGAGGTGGCCTGCAGCTCCTCCATCACCTGTAGGGCAACGAGACGGTGGCTGTGGGTGCTTCATGCCTGCTGGGAGTCCCCAAGGAAAACCCTGCTCCCTGGACCCAGACCCAAGAGCCCTCCCAGCCGCTGCTACAGCACCCAGGGCACATGGGACCCTCAGCCACCCAGGGAACTCACACCGGGGGTCAGAAGAGCTTGAGCAGCTCCGCAGGGTAAACCTAACGGGCACTAACTTACGAAGCCCTTCCCGGGCGTCAGCTGCTCTACGTGGGCCTTCTCACTCAGCGCTCACGATGAACTAGATGTAGCGGGCACTACTGTTTTGCCATTTTACAGATGAGAATTAAATGAAAGATTAAATATCTTGCCCAAGGTCAGAAAGCTCGGAAGCGGCACAGCCAGGACTTGAACCTGGGCTTACCTGGCTCCATTATCTGTGCCCTCATCACTACATTCTTTTATAATTGAGGAAATTGGGGCTCAGAGAGGCTGAGTGACTTGGTTAAGGTTGCAGAGCTAGTAGGGAAGGCAGGGCTGTGCCTGGGAGCCTAGCAACCTGACATGTTGCTCATCACCACATCCCGCGGAGGAGAAAGGAGAGGGAGGTGGGCCCACAGGCTGCGGCCTCCCCTCACAGGCCATCTCCGGGGGTTACGTGAGTTTACCCAGGAGCTGGACTTAGCAACAGGGACAGCTTTCCCCAAATCATGCAACACAGAGGACAGGCCCACAGGAAATCAGGACGCCTTCCTTTAAACAACGAGAAGCCTGAGCCAGGAAGCGGGGATGGACTGCGAGCCCCTTGCCCCCAGGACTGCACATTGGGCCTCTCCAGACACCAGTCTTGTTTGACCTGTTCCTACTGCCCGTCCTCAACAGCTTGGAGCTGCCGATCTGATCCAAATGCTCTCATTTCACAGCTGGGGAAGCAGACTTTCTCGGGAACACACAGTAAGTGGGCGTCATCATGTCACCATGTTCCCAAGCCCAGTCCAAGGCTCACGAGTTCCTCCCCGCCTGTTAGGAGGCCCAGGGAGGAGGAGGAGGAGGAGGAGGAGGAGGAGGAGGAGGAGGAGGAGGAGGAGGA